GCACTGACAAGGGGCAGGCTTGCTTTCTAATTACTGAGAGAGTTCAGCTGGTGTCTTGGCTTTCCATGCCTTGATCATTTGGGTTGTTACCGACATCTGGTGAAAATTTCATGTCATTAGCACCTCTAGTAATATATTTACTGAGAAAAATGGTGACGTGTTCAATACTTATTTTACCCATTGTAAGACTGTTAAATGCAGACCATTTTATCGCACGAGTTTACAATCGTCATGGTATTCCGCTAGATGCTAATGCTAACACAGCTATGGGTGAGCTGCACAAAGCAGTGGACAAGCAGCAGAACTCTTATCCTGACACAGTTAGGGATGGGTACCGAATTCGATACTTTTTAATGTAAAGACCGAATTCTGTCGGTACTACCGAGTATCTATTCATGTAYCATCAAACGGTACCATGTTTCGGTACCTAAACACATCATTGCGACCGTATTGGCGTAAGACTGGTCAGTTTTCCATGCTTGTCATGAACGCAGCATCACCTAAGAGCGTAATGGCATCAGCAGCCGCTGGTTCAGTAAACAGCTCGGTCTCTGACCGTAGCTAAGTGAGCCTCGCAGCTCACAGCTCCTAAACTCATCAAACAGACCACCTCTGAATTATCTGGTGGATTAATTATCTTGTGAACACGACGTTCGCTTGCTCAAAGTAAATAAAGTACCGCCACTATCTTTATTTCATCCACTATTAAAGAGAGACCAACAGAGGCGCTTCCTGACAGTCCGAACACATCTGACCTGAAAGAGCACAAGCAGCCAACAAGTGTTGGGTGCGTTTTGGATGCCCAAAACGTAGCTTGAACAGCTTTTATTTATTTAACTCCATCCTCTTTGGCTTATTTGATTTAAACTTATTTGCCTTCTATGGACCTCCATCACACATTTTTCTAGTGGGGCAATGACACCAACAGAAATACATGAAGCTGGATTTTAATTTGTGCAATAAGACAAAACAGTCTTGTTGTTTTCAAGTGTTTTCACTTAAAAGAAGTTAGTTACACAACTGATGTTACAATACAAAGAGTTGGATGTTGTCTTGATATTTGTTAATTTTATATATTGAGAAATATGTAAAAAAAGTTTATTTTAAAAAAAAACAACACACACAAAGTACCGAAAATTGGTACTGTTAAGTACCGGTACCAATTCCCAGGTACCGGATATTGGTACCGAACCGATTCAAATGCCAAAGGTACCCATCCCTAGATACAGTGCATATCATAGTTGGGGACTTCAACCAGGCTGATTTACGTACAGTTCTGCCCAGTTTTGAGCAGCATATTAAATGTGCAACAAGTGGAATTAACACTCTGGACAAAGCCTATAGTAACATCCAATAAAGGCCATAGGGCATCTCCTTTACCACACCTGGGAATGTCTGATCACGTCTGTGCTGTTAACTTCTACATACAGTGGTTTGCAAAAGTATTCATGCCCCTTGAACTTTTCCATATTTTGTCACATTACAACCACAAACATAAATATATTTCACTGGAATTTAATGTGAAAGACCAACACAAAGTGGTATAC